GCAAGAGCAACAAATGCATGCAAAAATATAAGTGCAGCTAATAGTTACGTGGAATTTTTAAGAGAAATGACAGCCTAAATTGTGAAAATATGGAGGAAGTTAGAGCTGGCTGGGAGTATACATCAGTGTGAAGCATGTTTCCACTTAAATTTTCAATGTTTTCTGTGAAAAATTCTACACTGCCCTAAATAAATTCAAGAGACATATTTCATGCACTGCTCCCCAGTCATCTACAACACAAAAATAAATGAGATTAAAGTGCATGTCGATTTACTCCAGCGTTGGTTAGATGGGGGAATTACTTACTGCAGGAGCCGTTGAGGCTGGCTGTAAAGTAGATTGTATTTTTACTTCCCCTAGAAGAAGAATGGAGATCACAGAGTGATTACACAGTCAGTGACATATTTAGTAAAACAAATGTACACTGCTTTATAATGAGTATGTAATGGTATGCTTGCATCTTAATAAACAACAGTGCATGCAGAAGCATTCTTGCAACAAGGAAGAAATCGGGTCTAATACAAGACTCTGCTGCTGTAAGACTACTGTGAAGTCTTGCTTCATTGAAGTCTTGCTTCACAGTGCAAGTCACATGATACTGCTTATCGTATACAACCAGCCCTTTATAAATATGTACTTTCTGTTTCTGTTGAGTGTTGTGTTCAGAAAACTCCTGACCCAGATAAAAGTGACCCATTTTCCTGCAGCCTTTTAAGCCTAACTTCTTTAGGGATAGTAATCAAAGGTCATGTTTCAGGAAGACTTTTTTGAACGCGCAGTTCCTCTGGACACCTGGACAACACAGCCTTAAAGCTCAAACTAAAAAGACAGAGATGCCAAGATAAGACTGTGACAAATACCAGGAAGAGCCATGAAAAACAGCATTTGTGCTGCAAGGGCTTGGCCCCAACATGGGTAGTTAAACAGCCGATGACTGCAATGTAGTTTTAGTGCCCATTTGGGGGGGAAGAAAAAAGGTGCAGCAACAATAAACCCTGATAGAAAACCACTGAACATGTATGTCCCATGATGAGAAAAATTGTATATCTTCCTTTGCTTATCTTAAATCATCAAAGGGGCATGTTTGAATAACTTTAAACACATTAAGAAGAGAGCAAGTTTAAGCATATTTTATTTTGATAAACAATGAAGCACTATATTAGAGACAGGTGGAACTTCACCGTCTTCCTCTGTCTGTAACAATGAGGCTGTTGGAAAAACTGAAAGTCATGCTGCCTTGCAGGTTGTACAATCACTTCTTGAAATATCGCAGCATGCCATACAGCTTTTTGCTCTACTTCCTCCTTAAAGTGACTAAAAACAATTCCATGAAACGTCAAAGGAGCTTGCAAAGAAAAG